TATATATGTATATATATATATATATATATATATATATATATATATATATAATGTCTACTGCAAACAAACAAGGACATGACAAGATAAGGTCACTTGATGGCCACTTGAGCGCGGCTTACGTCAGTTATTCAAAATGTGTTAAGATATTCCAACCGGTCGAAACTTCGTGAACGTGTTTATCTTTTACCAAAAAGCTCGCGCAGAAACGCGTTTCGAGAAGGGAAACGCATTTTCCCGGAACTGACGAGAACATTCCACCGGCTGTCTTTCCCACATGCAGTAGACCATGTAGTATGGCTCATTACTTTCCACAGAATACAGCCGATTGATTCATTTAACGGTCCAGACTAGTTTCAATCCTTGTATCACTTTTGTTAGTTAGAAAATACGTATATTCTCTTTTTCTCCGATTCTGACTACCTACAAATAAAAGATATTACTCGTTCAGCTGTAATACCCTATCAGTGCCTAGCTGCCATGCCACCAGAAGGAAGCACGAGGACCGGAAGACTGCCAGATTGCTCAAGCCGAGAAAGAGGAAATCGAGAGGCAGAGGTCGAGTTCGAACCACAGACCTTCCGGTCAATGAGTCCGCTCTCCAACCACCGAACCATCTCACCAATACCTCAAGGCAAAAACCAATCTGAGCACCCCAGGAATGCTCACTCCGAAGACCAAGTGTTGCGTTCTGGTTCGGTCACACTGGAAGAGAAGATGCTGAACCCTGGTTTCTCTCCCATTACAGTCCACTGTCGTCCGTAAACTGTTTTAATTCTGATCGTGTGAAGTGGGGGGTGAGCGCATTAACACCATCCCATCAGCGCAAAGCGAACGTGCCTGACTTATCATGGCAAGCATTCCTTACTTTACAGTGATTTCTCCCCGGGAAAAGGATGAATCGATTCCAAGTATATCCCGAGTCACTGATGCGCACACTCAGCAATAAGCATAACCTCATCCATACGGAGACCCAGTATGTACGGACTTGAGCCATGTGTGCTGCTTAGCTAAAAGAGTGTCCTGGCCGGAAAGGCACCCAGCTGGCGTTACGGGCATGTTAATACTGACGCAGATTGGTGGAGTTATGCACTCGTTTGCAAATTAAGATGGTGTCAATGGGGGATCCAACCGAACACAGTATCCTGAAGGGAATTCAACTCAAGTTTGGTTTGGAACAATCCTGGACGTTCGGGGACCAGACCCATCTGATGAGTTCTACGAAGGGCGAAACCGACAGTAACAATATACCATCATCCAGCTGTAACACCCTTCGGGCCCCTAGTTGCCATGCCACCCGAAAGAAGCACGAGGGCTCAGATACTGCCAGGCTGCCCAAACCTACACAAGAGTAGTCAAGATGCAGAAGTTGGGTTCGAACCACGGACCTTCTGGTCAGTGAATATGCGCTCTAACCACTGAGCTGTCTCGCTCCGGTTAGTGAACTCGCGGTTCAATCAGTGAGCCGTCTCGTGCTCAAGACAACAAACACAGTATAATAAGTTCCATAAGCGGCACTCCTCAGGGGGAGGGAGAGACGATATAAATTGAAGTACCGGTGTCTATGATGATATTGGAGGACATGCACAGTGGCGTGTGCAAGAGCTTTCACAAGTAGAATCATATCGGGGAAAATGATGGCCGATATTTCTTGATTACCAGTGGCCGACTCTGTCCGCACTTAACGGGTCCGAAAAAGTATTAAATATGAATTTATCCGGATAGGTAAGGTTGTCCTCGAAAGACGTTTGTAACTCGGACTTCTCAAACTACGGGATTAAAACCCAACCAGTATTGATTCCTTTCTTCTGTTTTTATGTGGTACAACGCGATTCCCCCTTTTTGTTATTTTGGTTTTGCGCCTTTGTTGTTTCTGACCTGAACACAAACTGTTCTTTGACCTTGTCATCGGACGTGTTGTTTAAGTCAACACGTGGTTTCGCTGCCTTGTAAACACGTGGCTTTGAGTCCGTGTGGACTTTGAGATCCGTTAGGAATTAGCAGTCTCTAAACCGGTGTATAGAAGCCGGCATAGTCCCACGATTTGAGGCTTGTATTTACGGTACGGCATTTGTAGATAAACTTCTATTTGAAGGATTTGGTTTTTAAGGTTTTGCGCGTAACTCGACGTCGTTCAACAGATTGCTAGAAATAATCTATAACCCGCGAGTGACGGGTGAACCAGTGAGGGGGTATCATAAACAGAATCTGTAGGATGTTATATAGATGTCATATTAAAGACAAGCAATTCAAGAACCGTCAGATCCAAACAACGGTATCGTCGGCTTTCATATGAAGTTCCTATACAAAACTCAGGAGACTGTGCGGAAGGTGAATACACACGTCGGTAACACATTCGAAACGAGATCATCAGTAAACGGGAAATAAAATATGGGAGAGACTTACTTGGTGAGACCACGCACGAGGACTCGGTCACGTGTTCGCATCATTTGGCTGTCATAAGGGATTTCCACAATCTGTCAATGAAAAAGAATTCGATAGGCCAGCGATCCAAAAATCTTGTCCGTATAACACACCGTGTGGAGGACGAACAAGCAAAACAAGAGGAACGTGATAAGGCGTCCGCGAATGGAATCACGTCGCATCCGCTGTAGCTTTAAAAGTGTGCTAAGCAAGCGCAACACACAACAGAACACTCCTGACAGATCTTCCAAAGAGGTTTTCCTGGAACCCTCTTGAGACCCCTTGCAGGGACCCAGTAAAAGTGATCTGTTCCGATAATTGACCTCTTCTAGGAGGGACCAAACCATTCGGTGAACTTACAGAGAACGAACCACAAGTGGCCTCCTCTTCAAATAGAGGAAAACTGCATTAAATGCGTGTAATATAGATGAAGATAATCTCATGAGGCCTCCCCAATCACTTGAGGAGAACAATTCTGTCTCCATGCCATTGTTCAGGCAGCAAATTAATGTAGAAATTCATAAAAGTTCAGTACATGAACTCCGCGTCCTGACATGTTGTGTAGAATGTTGCGCCATGGAGCACTGAGACTAGTCTTTGTTGGGAGGTGGGAACGTAGTCCCCCAAGATGTAGCAATATCAAGGCCATGCTCCCGACACTGACTCGAGGAATGACCTCACTTGAGGGGAGACATGGCATGTTTACCACTGCGGACATTTTTAATTAGCTGAAACGTTCATCAAACTGCCGGTGTGAGTTGTAATATCCACAACTTTAATACGGTCGGTACCCTTTCGGGGCCCAACTGCCTGAAGGAAGCACGAGGGCTGGGATATTGCCAAGTGGCCCAAACCTAGACAGGGGAAGTCGAGATACAGGTCGGGTTCGAAACACGGACCTTCCGGTCTTTGCCTACCGGTACGAACCTGTGGATAATAGTTGTTCAGTACGTATAAACAAACAAGATGTTTACTGCTGAAGGGCCAGTTACCAAAATACGCCCCTTGGTCAACAAGCCTCTGGATGTTTGTGCAGTTCTCCCAGTGGTTAGTTTTGGATTAGTTGTCTGACATGAGCCTGGCTGAGAACCTCATGATATGACAGAAATCAGCGAAGAATCGGCTGCCACATGAGTGGCGCGTTCCCAACACATGATTCGCTGTGTTTGACAACGAAGGATAGTCAGATGGTGTTCGTATTGGAATATATAAACACATGCATTGTTGAATACATCTGACCCCAAGAGGTTCACCCGTAAAAAGATCCCATTCACATACCAGATTGACAAGTTCAGTGCGCGGTAAACCTATCAAAGAAGGATTTTCGAGGCGTCTCCTCCCCTAAATCGGGTCGGTTTCCCTTAGAAGAGCTTATTTGGAGGGTTATATATATACATACATAATATTCAGCTTACCTGGTTGACTGTATTGGCTGCGGCGCTCGTTAGTCCAGTTCCCACAATTAGACACAAAAGTGTCCGGTACGGATGTGCCAAGAACAGGGGTGAAGTCAGACTTGTTGAGGCTGCTAACACACAGCCGACTACGGCAGTGGATACCACGAGAAGAGAAAGACGAGCTTTGGATAGACCTGCCGCCACCTCAAAGCTCCTGGTCAATGACTGCGGGAAGGTGGGTACAAGAATCTGGTCTGGGCTGGCCAATATAGGGCAAACAGAGGAGGTGACGGGAGGATCTGTGCCCATGTGTTCACGTGAGTCTGTTGTGCTGTACAGGATATTGTTATCTGTAGAAAACACGATGAAATTGTGTATGTAGCTCCAGAGATTCGGAAATTTCGCCACCATGTTCGCGAAGTGTTTGCAAACAAAAAAAGAATCGGAGGTCTTACCTAAACTGGGGGGAGAGTGTTCCTCCGGAAACGTGGGTGAACCGACTGTTACGGACAGAGATTCCAAGGGAATTCCTCGGTCTGTAATAGACCGAGGCACTGACGTGGGAGTCAGTGATATCTGAGAAATGGATGCACCTAACCGCTTCGATTGAGCTTGTTCTTCTGACCCTGAGGGAACTGCTGACTAGAGTGGGATGAGAACAACGAAGTTACATGATTTCGATAAGTATGACGACATCGGTGCACACTCAATCGCACAGTAAACAAACTCTGGACATGCGCATAAGGTGACAGTGTAAGAAAAAGTTGAGCAACTGCTATATAATAAACAATTTGCTTGCTTACCTGAGTTTCTAACTGTAAAGGACCGGTATATCGCTTCGAATAACACATACTACGATGTCGCCCACAAAGAATTATTCGCGTAGGTTGTTTGGAGAGAGTAGTTGTGTGTGGACTTCGCGAGACCAAGAAAAATAGAGGAAGATGTCGAAACCCCATTTGCTTCTCGGCTAAAGGTTAACAGCAATCTTCTACCAATAGCTGAGCAAGGACTGAGATGCGCGGATCCTTTAGAGTGTCACCACCAGAACTCTGTTGTTGTCGGTACGCTTGCGCTGCGCGGATAGCAGCGGGGAACCGAGTACGCAGATCTACGGAGAACTCCGACTCGGCGGTGGTACCACGAGTTTGTGTGAACAGCTGAATCAAGATGGTTAGACAGTGGATGACGATCAATGGAATCGGTGACGCCAGACAAGCGACGACATAGGCAAGCAGCGGATGATCGCGGAGCTCCTTCCTATCCGTGGGTGAAGCAGAAGCGAGGTTAACCAGTCCGCCAAGAGCAAGCTCCGCGAGGCGAACAGCACTATCTGCAACAGTGCTGGATTCGGAACCGGTTGCTGCAAAAAAAACATTGAGATAAGCACAACTGTGTGAATGTGAATTTAGAACCCAAAATAATTGTAAAGCAAAGGAATATATATAGGGATTTCCAAGGTCAGTCTCTAGAAAACTGATACCAAACAGTCAAATTATGAGGAACACGTACAGAAAATATGAAGTGCAAGTTGCAGTTGTTTCATACGGTTTCGTTTGTTGAAACACTAGATCGTAGGGAAAATCAAACGGTCAAAAGCATGTCTCAAACGATAACCAAACTGCTTCCTCATTCACATACGCCAGAGAACGCGTCAAGCGGCTTTCAGACGCTACCTAGTGCAGATTGGTTGACCCTAGCGAAAAGCCCTTGAGAATGAGCGAAACTAATTTGGCTTTGCGAGAGACTCACCTGGAACCCAGCTGAATCTCTTGTTTGTGGTGTTTCCAGACAACTGGATGTGCTGCACTGGGCCGACTCCTGTTTCAGTCGCTACGATATTCGAGGTATCATGAAACGTGTATATTCACAATGCACTATTCATAAGGTTGCTGAAAATTCGTCGACGGCCCACGACCGGTCTCGCCCTTCGTGGGGCTCAGTCATCGTAAGCGCATTCATCGGGTTTCCGTCAACCTTATGTTCTACTTGAAACCAAACTACATTACGAATATACATGTATCGCGATGTCTCGAATATCGTAGCAACTGAAACATGAGGCAGCCTGAAGCAGCACATTCGGTTGTCTGGAAACATCACAAACGAAAGATTCAACAGGATTCCAGGTGAGTCTCTCGCAAAACCATTTTTTTTTTGCAAATGAGTATATTTCGCTTAGTTCGTGCAATTTGGTCTCAAGGAGAACATAAGGTTGACGGAACCTCGGGGACTGTCCTTACCTGATTAGCTCCTAGAAGAGCGAAACCGGTCGTGGGCTGTCAAAGGGTTTTTAGCAACCTCATGAGTAGTGCAATACGAAGATACCCTTGAGGATGAGTTTTAACGACTGATTTCACCGAATCTGAATGGAAAACGGTGAGCTGAAGTCAACCGAGTGGTCAGTTGCATGGATTAGTTTATCGGGGCTCTATCAACCGAGTTGGGTTGGAACATGTTGGCGAAGTATACCGTGCAACCACGTGGTCACACTGTGCTGCTTAAGCAAAACAAGCTGAACAAGGTCACATGAAATCGATTGATGAAATACTGATTACAGGTTGTTCAAGTCAGTGGGGTGCGTCATTAAGGGTGTGAGTTGTCACTGCGTCTAAACTGAGTACAGACGCCAACGATACAGACAGTCAACCTTGAATTAACCAACGAAGGCACAGACGGAGTAGAATCTTCGGGTCGAGGAAACGCTGGAACAGAAGCTAGTGGAATGCACCAGTGCTAAAATAGTGTAAATTTGACAAAATAGTTGAACCATAATCATGGTAAATGGAATGCTCAAGTAGACAGAAAGCAAACCAAAAATATCGACCAAGACCAGGCTTTTACAGTGACGCCCCCCCCCATAAGGAAAAGCAAGATCCACAAATTTGGCGGATGAAAAATGCCAACGATCCACAATCGTTAGCGGAATTCGCGCAGATGGCGATCCATAAGAACACGGTGCTTCTTGGTCACCACAAGCAAGGATCTGTTGAACAAAACTGTCATCAGCGCCGTTAGACATAGACTGACCTATCCGCCTCATCATCATCATCATCATCGACAGCATGACATCGGTGTTCAACACCGATGCTTCACTGCCGTACAACCATGACTTATTTGAAAGCCTTATTGTAAAGAAAACAATAAAGGTGGATGGGGGAGGGACTTACTGCTAGCTTAACACAATCATTCCGAGGTGCCTACACCTCCAGACATTCACTCAGGCAATCTGGACAGAAACTGACAACAAGAACGCCACTGACATCGGTTTGCAGCCATATCTTGTAGTGCCTCCAACCAGGCACAGTGAGGATCACGCGGCCTATCCGCCTAAGCCTCCAGAACTGTCTTCACATGATTACCATTCAAGATATCAGAAGATAAGGTCCATAGCTTGTCGCGCATTGTTTGTGGTCAATATAAGAACAGTGTTATCCTATTACTGAGGTTCGAGAAGGACCAAGTGGTTAGGGTGCGAATTCACTGACCGGAAGGTCCATGGTTCGAACCCGACCTCTGCCTCTCGACTTCCCCTGTCTGGGCTTGGGCGACCTGGCAATACCCCAGCCCTCGTGTGGTATGACAGTCAGGCACTGAAAGGGTGCCACAGGTGAACGATTACTGAGGTCAAAGTAGTGCGAGGCTACTGTCGCAAGCAGATAACTATTCAGAGTAACTCATGGAAGGTTAGTGTTGCCCACGGAACAAGGACTGAAAAACTACTCAAAATAAGACCTAGCAACCAAAGCTGACACCGAAATGACCGATACTTTGGGTCATAAAAACTAAACTGTACCGCAATAGTAATCAGGAAGTTTTAAATTACAGGGTTCTCATGTAAAATTTCATCTACTACGTGACTCGGTGATCAGGTACATCGGTTTGTTACGTGAACCTGCTTCAAAAGATGGAATGTACGGGTTGATATCACTTGGCCCGTGTGCTGGTTCAGATCTCACCAACGCTCGCGACACTTCGCACGTGACATGAATTGCAATGTTCGGGTGGATATAAGCCACGCAAAAGCATATGCCGAAAACGGTGTGAAGATGATTAATGACAATGAACCTCAGTCATATACAACCAGCGGAAATGCTGCTGTGCGAGAAAAAAATCCACTCGACGTGAACGAATGACTCAAGACGAAATGAACTCACAAGCCTCCGCCCAGATCGGAGCAACAGGCTCCAAACAAGTCAGAAACAAATCGACCACGTGTAACTGCCGCAAGTGGGGACAGTTTCGGGGATCGTAGGCAAAGTTTGCTAGATTGGCAATGATCTGTTTGTCAGACTTGTGGTCATTATAAACCGGAGTAAAAGGTACCTGTTCCTTATAGTCGTGAATGTCGGTCTCCTTGAATTCACTGACAAGTTTCTCAAGATATTGCAATCGCTCTAAACTCCCAGGCGATGCACGGTGATCTGTTCTAATCGACGTGAAGCACCGCTCAGACCTCAGACGATGACGCTTTGATGGCATAAACCACCGGACTGGAGAATTAAGAACACAGAAGCGATTCCTTTGTTCACGGGGCGACTGGGGTTGCCGACGTACAGCTGAAAACAGAGACCAAGAACAAAGACAATGCTACCATCAAAAGGTATTGAGGGCAACCAATGTTTTCATCACAGTAATAACATACTAATAATCGTTCAGCTGTAACACCCTTTCGGTGCCCAGCTGCCATGCTACCCGACGGAAGGGCCAAAGTACTGTCAGGTAGCCCACACCGAGATAGGAACAGTCTTTATGAAAGGGATGGGTTGACTTATCCATTTCAGCTGCTGAGAAGTGTTCCTGACTTTTTTTACGCTGAAGATCAATTAAGCCATCGTAACCACTACACTAATGACTGGCTTTAATCGTATGATTGTCTGAAAACTGGTGCACTGAAAGCACCGACAAGCCGTTTCAGAAATGTTTCATTGTGGCTTTGTGACCCTTCAATCTGTCAATTTTCATCATTCGGTTTTGGATTAAATGCGTGTAAGCTTTGTCCCGAAGTTACTAACATCAGCGGTGTTTTCTATTTCCACGACCTCAGTTTTCTTTTTGGGTATCCGCTTGCAATCATGTCAGTATGCGTCCAGAGCTGACTGGATACAGGAATGAACCAAGCGCCATGTCCAAATTCGACGCCTGAAAGGAACACGCGATTATCCACACAGTTACAGTTGACTAGATGAAAGCCAAGTAACATCATCATCATCATCATCATCACCATCATTGTCAGCTGTAATAACCGCGTACTCGTCGTACAGTGGTTGTAGCTGCCGCAGTTTCGTTCACCGATGATTTGGGGGGGGGATAGGTAGCTGCGCATTGCAGGCACCAGCTGGTAAATCGGTGCATAAATCCAGTACTGTCAGGACTGAAAGTTTTTGACATCCTCGGCGCGCAGCGGCCAGGTTTCTGATCCATATAGTAATATGGAGCGCACCGCAGGATTACAAACTCGAACCTTGACAGAGAAGCTGATGTCACACCTACGCCACAGGTGACGTAGGTTCGCAAAAGCTGCTCTGGCCTTCCCAATCCGGACGGAATTTTCATCTTTCGTGAGACCACAGGGACTGATACAGCTGCCCAGGTAAACAAATTTGTCTACTACCTCAGTCGGTTAATACGCAAGCATGAGGCTAGGGTTCGAGCCCACCCAGTCTTGCAGTAGCACTTTATACTTTGAAGGTGTGAAGCGCATACCAAACCGCGAGGCAGAATTATTTAGATTATTTAGTATTGTTTGCATTGCCACAGGGTCAGATCCTAGAAAAGCTATGTCGTCTGAGTACTCAATGTCTGTGAGCAGAGGCTCAGGAAGCACTTCGACCCCACAGGCATTAGAGGCTGGTAGTGAGTCTTCCATGATCGTATCACTGACAAAGTTGAAGAGGGAAGGTAAAAAAAGGGCAGTCCTGTCGGACACCACTTGATGTGGTGAACTCAGGAGAGAGCTTCCCGTAGACCTTTACACGGCCGCGGGAGTTGGAGTACGGCACCTTAATGAGGGTCAAGAATTTATGGAGGACACCTTTGCTCCACAGACACTGCCATAGTGCTTGGCGGTCCACAGAGTCAAAGGCAGCTTTCAGATCAAGAAAAACAATCATTGTTGCTTGCTGGAAGCAGTATCGCTGTTCCAGAATCTGTCGAAGAGTGAAGATATGATCGATGCAACCTCTTGCAGGACG